TTAATAGATTAAGTTGCGACTCAAATCCATCAATGAAGCCCCACAAACATTTTTCTTCAACGAAAAATTGAAAATAGATGCGCTAATCGGGATAGTTTTTCCCATCACGTTTTATGGCCCACACATCTTTTTTTTCAAAAGTCTCTAATAAGTAGGAGGCCTAATGGAAAGCTCACTAATTTGGAAGTCTCTCTAATTTAAAGGAGGCTCAAGACGTGAGTTTGAATGCGCAAAACGGTACTAACAAACAAAAAGAATTTTTTAACAAATAAAAGTAGCAAAGAAATAAAGTGAGGTCCAAGATGTGGAGATTGATGTCGATCTTTGGATCTGGGAGGGGGGTTTCCATTTAATGGGTTTCAAGCGGTGCTTAAAGAGAGAAAGTGGATCTAGGAAAAAACTGCAGACCTGATTTCTGAAAATTGTATACCCATTGAAGATGGGTCCTTCTACAGATCATGTAGGGCAACTTAGAGATAATTAGTGAAAGGGACAACTAATACAGCTAATACAAGAAGACGTAGAGAGAGTTGCTACAAAAAGACGAGCAAAACAAGAAGACGCAGAGAGAGAGAGAGAGAGAGAGAGAGAGAGGTGCCAAAACAAGAAAAAAGAACGTAGACAGAGATGGCTTGACCCAAGAAGATGGGAAAAAATACTCAAGCAAGAGACTGGAAAAAAACACAAAAAACGAGAAGCAATCTAGATCTGAAAATACCGTGAAGGAACTTTTGCCGAAGAATACCTTGTGGAAAAAAAACGAGTACTTATCTTGAGTGACCAGATTTGTGCGAGATTGTAGATTCTTGAAAATTGTTTACGGCGGAGTCACAAAAAAATCAATTTAGATATAACCTCGTTTTGATCCCATACCAAACACACAAAGAGGCAGAAAAAAACCTTGTATTTATTGTCTATTATCAATATATATATAATACAATCAGAAATAACTTACACGACAAGATGAATTACAATAATTAATATTCCTATGAAATATACACTTTCTATATGTAACAAAATAAATATCTTCAACAGTCTCTGCATACCCTTCTTAGTCCCAGTAGGTTCTCTTTCTTTACTTTTATAGCATGGGTCTCTTCCATGTAAAAGTTGAGTATAACATGGAAACTTTTAAAATTTACTTAGTTTGCAATCTCTCTTTCCTTACTTTTTCGGCATTTGAGGTACTTTTTTTTTTTGCCCGAATATTAAGGATTTTTATTAAAATGATGCTTCAAAAGCATAAGGTTACAAAAATATCAGGTCATTCAAGACAAGAAGAGAGGGGAGAGAGACTCCTACCCCATTAGCTTCAAGAAGAGTATGGTCAAAGGTGAATCTCAAGTTCAGCAGCGCAGAGGTTTAAACTTTGATCCACAGAGAGAATAGAGTCCAAGAAACGTTTTGCTCTATGCTGCACCACTTGATAGCATTCAATGAATCCCCTTCCACAATAATATCTCTAGCAATCCCTTGTCAATAATGATAAGCAGGCCTTGATAGAGGGCAGTCAGCTCAGCATTACATTGGTTTTTGGTTTAGTTTCAGGCTTCATATAATTTAGCTATAGTTATATTTGTTGCTCAAATTATTTGTTTTTCATCTGTTATGGGTGTTTAATGTTCTTGCCATTGTTCTTGCTTATGTTTGCCATTTTCTTATCCATAAAGTTACGATTTTTGTTTGCTTTCAGACTATTAGAAATTAGCAGTTTCAGTTCTTGATGAGGGGTTTTCATTGGTTATTATTGTGTTTCTTTTGATGGTTGTGCTCACATTGATGAATTAAGGGTTTGTAGGAAGAATGACTGCTGCATTGGATTTTTTGTTGAAATAGCATATCATTGGATGTGTTTTCGTTGAAATATGTGTGATATGGTGAGAAAATTATTTCCAGTTATTAGGAATGGCTGAGAGAGGATATAGAATATATAATCTTTTTTCCTCTAAAATGTAGCTAGACAACAATTTTTTACTTTTGATGAGTTGTTAGGCTGTCGTTTTTAAATCCGTCACGGGTTAGCAAAATTGCTTAGGTGATACAGTTCACAATACATAGAGGGAGTTCGTTAATAGTAGTAGTCATGGTAGCAGTAATAATAAAGTTAACTAATGGTATTAGTTTATATTTAGGATAATTATCGCAAATATATCTATATTTAGTTTAAAAAAAAAACTTTCAAAAATTTCGGACGAAAATAACTTTCACGGTAGTCATTTTACCATAATTCATATTAAGTTTTACGGTAATTAAAATACCGTAATAACTTGAAGCAGTATTACAGTAATTAAAATACTGTAATAACTTCAGGTAGTATTACAGTACTTTAAGTACCGTAATAGATAACATTTTCTTTATGGCATTCTGTCTATCGTAATTAGGTGGCTTCCTTCTCGACCAATGAGGGAGAGGAGAGAGAGATAAGACTTGAAGTACCGTATAATATGGAAACAATACGGTAGAAAGAATGCCGTAAAGAAAATGTTATCTACTACGATACTTAAAGTACCGTAATACTACTTCATGTTAATACGGTATTTTAATTACCGTAATACTACTTCAAGTTATAACGGTATTTTAATTACCGTAATACTACTTCAAGTTATTACAGTATTTTAATTACTGTAAAACTGAATATGAATTACGGTAAAAGCACTACAGTGAAAGTTATTTTTGTTAAAAAAAAAAAAAAAAACCCGAAAATAAAAAAAAATGGTGTAAACGAGGTTTTTGAAAGTTGAAATTTTTTTCCAATTAAGCTAAAATATAGGTATATTTACGATAATTACTCGTATATTTATTATAGTATATTTGATATTGTATAATATTATATTATATTTTCATATAGGTTTAATGATATATATTTCATGGGTTTCATGGCATCCACCACCACCACTAATAACAACAACAACAAAATAATAATAATAATAGTAAATTATATTATTTTACTATTTAATTTAATATAAATGTATTTGACATTAGGAAATTCTATCAAATTACCCATGAGAGATGAACAATTTAAAACTTTACCTATATTTTTTATGAAATTTTAAAAGAAAAAGTTTATATAAATCTGAGGCTCTAAACAATCAAATTAGTGTGCACATCAAAAATTTCACTAAAAGAGGTTGTTTTGATGCCCAAATATCTTCAAATTGATCATCTCGGCTTCAAGATGCATAGACATGAGAAAAAAATAGATTTCAAGTATCGGAAATAGTGTATCTTGTAATGCATTTTTGGACCGTCAATTTTCAAGATTTTAAAGCTTTCATAAATCTGCTCGATCTAAACTAAACTATTTTTTAAGCTTTAAATTTTACAATGGGAAAAGTTTATATAAGGTTGCAACTACAAAATGTAGAATTACATATGCACCACAAAAATCCATCAGAGAATGTTGTTTCAATGTTGAAAAACCCTCTAATTAATCATCTCGACATCAAGATGTATGAATAAGAAAAAAAAAAAAGTTTATAAGTCCCATCTTACAACACATTATCTAGGCCGTTCATTTTCAAGACTTTCATATATTTATAGATCTACTTGATTTTAACCAATTTTTGGATTTTTAAAAATTTTATAATTAGATATAAAATATATTTTCACTTTAATTGGATATGAAATATATTTTCACTTCAATTTTTGGAAGTGCATAATTGGATTGTTTAAGGTTGCAACCATATTGAAACCAACCGTTTTTATAATTAAAGACGAAAATATATTTTAAAACTATCACAAAGATTTTCAGTATTAAAACTATATGTCTTGACACTATTTGAACGTACGCTTTACTTTAATTGTTTAAAACCTCACCTCTATACAAACCACACCCAAATTTATAAAGAAAAAGTTTATATAGAGTCAAAGGTTCTAAACAATCAAATTAGAACACACCTCAAAAATTTCACTAGAAGATGTTGTTTCCAAAAAATGGATTTCAGTTTTGAAAATAGTGCATCTAATGAAAGCATATTTTGACCGTCAATTTTCAAGATTTTCAAATTTTTATAAATCTGCTTAATCTACACTATTTTTTAAGCTTTAAATTTTATAATTAGAGATGAAAATATATTTTAAAGCTATCACAAAGATTTTCAGTATTGAAACCACATTCTTAATACGATTTGAAGGTGTGCTCTATTTTGATTGTTAGAGCCTCGGCTCTATACAAACCGCACCCATTTTAAAATACCCTTAAAAAAAAATAGTCTTTTAAGATACATGCATAATAATAAATATTTCATCTTTAATGGGCATTTTTATAAATTTCCTTTGATATTATAATATAATTTTTTATATTGTAATAATATTATTATGATAAACATGGGAATAGTATTTTTTATAATATTTACCATTATCGAAGTATGGCATCAATAAAATTATAACGCCATAACTCCTAATATGCTATAGATAATATAATAATATTTGGGGTAATATCAATTATAATATTACAATTAATGTTATAATTACTCTTCTTATTGCTATTGTAAAATATATTCCTAATCTATTTTGAGCTATAAAGTAAAGTAAATACTAATTGCAATAATGAACAACAATAGTAAATTAAAAATTACATACAATAACAGTAACTATAATGTGAATAATAATGCATATATTAAATGTAACTTATACAGTGGACTAGTACTTAATAATAATCATAATGATAATTATTACCGTAAATTATGCGTACAATAAATTTACTCACAAGTGGATCTGAGTCCGTCAATACTTTAATATAACAGCATGTATAGCATGCTCTCATGGGAGCACACTATACAACACCTTAGGCAAAAGCGCATGTAAATATAAAAGTTTTGAGCTTGGGTTGTTGAACACCTTGATCTTGCATACCAAAAAATGGAGGTTTCCTAATCAATCTTGGTCATGATATCAAGAATTAGTTACCACTATATATTCTTTTATTGTCCATCCATTAATAATCTCGCGACAGATTTAACAAAATGGTGGGATTAGTTTGAAGTTCTAGAGTGCGGGGGTAAAAAGAATACCGATAGCGTGCTAATTTCATTCTTCGGAGAACCTCACCGCGCGGCTCTACCATTGTTCACCTATACACATTTTCTCCCACAAAAACAAGAATAAAAGAAATACCAGGATGGATAAATAACAAAAGAAAAAAAACTAAAAATTTGAAACTACAAACTCCTTGAAATGCCATAAATGTAGGAACAATTGACAATTCAACTGCCAAAAAAAAGGCCCACTAATGGTGTCTTGTGTTTGAACTGCGCAATGTCACACCATGGAGAAATTTTGTATAGCCAAGGAAACTTAGTTTTCCATCAGAATGCCTGATCCAATCATGAAGAACCGAGTGGGCACTTGGCCCAAGATTCATTTCCTGCGCAAAAGTTTATTCCATTTAAAATTTGATTAATGATGAATTCAAATTCAGATAGCACCATTAAAAAGAGAAAAAGAAATGTACCCCAGCCAATTCTTCCACAGAGATGACTCGGTTGCCCTCCACTTCAAAACACTCAAATGCTTTGCTTGCAATCTGCTCCCATCCTTCAAGAGCTTCCAGTTGATATGTGCTGATTGCAGCAGCACAGAACTCTTCAAAGTTCATTTTCCTTGATGAGAGGGATTCCATCTGAGAAACAACAATGCCACCAAATTAGCTCCAACATTCAATATTATTGAACTTCCCCAGCATGGTTTGCATACTTCAAAAATATGAGTGGTAAGATAAAATAGTTTTCTAAGTTTTAGTAGCAATTAAAAAACGACATGCAACAGTTGGGCAGAACTAAAACTAGTTACCAGATTTAAGACCAAAACCAAATTCAACAATGTTGAAGGAATGCAAATAAGTAACCGGATAGATTCTTTTCTAAGCCCCCTACCGAATTTAAGATGTCAAGGACCCTCGACTCCTTCATGGCATCCGTTGCATTTCTCAAGAGAGCCTGCAATTTATCACATCAGTATAACTAGACTTGAGCAGAAAGCCTACGAAAAATTATTTGAGATGATTATTCAAAGCATATATTTGGTTATTGGTGCATTATCCAAAGCAAATCTTGGTAAGACAAGCGGACAATCTGTATAAACCATAAAAAAATTCAAAACCAATAAAATGAACTACATATATCACACCAAAGAGTAAAACCCTACTAACCATTTTAAAGTTTTCAAGAGAAACCCGTCCATCTCTATTTGGTTCCAAGAGCTTAAACTGTGAACTAAGGTACAGTAACTCATCCTCGGATAGCGATTTTGATAGTGCCTGCAACAATCAAGGCCATAAAATCTGGTATCAATGGGGAAAGCACGGGGAATATATTTCATATACTAAATAGGTTTGCCTCAAACCCAAGAAAGAAACGCAAAGGACATTTCACCATCTCCTAGCATATGTTTAATGGAATGTGCAAACATCATGCAAGATCCTGGTTCCATCTCAAACGATAGAAACAAAGCAAACACTTACAAAACAATATTCAGAGAGGGAATATAAGGCATGGTTCATTTGCAAAGCCTTCGCTATTTCAGCATGCATATCCATGACAAACAAAGTAACTTCAATAACTTACAGTCATGTATGACACTTTCACTACATGTTCTCCCAAGAAATATTTTCTTTTTTCTTTCCGAATGTAGTTCTCTCAAGAACTATAGCTGTAAAAGCGAATCATCTATATCAAACCCCTCCTTCCATTAGACCACCATAATCAAATTTAACTACTGGCTCTGTGACTTTTTCCATGGATCGACCAAAAAACTAAGCGAGCTGTCTCCCTCGATATTTACATAGTGAGAGAAACGCAGGGCTGGCATGTCCACAAAAGGGATAAGGTAGCACTTCCTCCACGACTAGGAGAAAGATCAGAGGTAGCCCATGGCGGGAGAGGGTTGCAAGTTGTAGGGAGGAGAAGCAAAAAAGGTTAAAAAGGGTGACGTAAAATGGAGGAGAAGATGTATCGATCTCCAGAGGAGTAGGGAAAAGAAAGGGGTCGCCAATGATAGGAAGCTCAGTACGTTAAATGTCAAACGATGGAGGCTTAAGAGCAATGTACCAGGACTTGGCTTACTTGGCCTCATTGTAAGGGCGAGCCGAGTTTCGACCCAGTATGTTGTACATCAATTCTTGTATAGTTTATATATATTATTATGTCAATTTTAAGTCAAAAGTCCCCGAATGTCCTCTTGGATAGTGTACAAGGATATTTTCCAGGGAGGCTGGGGTTCGAGTCCCACCAATTAACGCGTTGCCCTCTTTCGTTTAAACTTCTTTTTTTTTTCTCTTAAAAGGGTTAGAGAACAAGAGCTTAAAAACAGCACTCGTGCGAATCGAATCCCTAAGCTCTCATAAAAAGGCATACAAGGGCAGCTAACCCAACCAGTATGCCCGCCTACACTTTATATATTAAAGAGAGGATGGTTATACTCTATGTACTTTTTTTCCTTTTATTTTTTAAATTTGGACTAAACTTGAGCGGGTTTCCCGGGACTTGCCCAAGTAACTCGCCTTGGCCAAGGTCCGAGTACCTTGGCCAAGTCGATTTCGATACACTGCTTAAGAGCAAAAGCAAGCGAAGAGACTATTTGCCATTAGAAATAGCTTATGAAAACCATCAAAGAAATAAGAAAAAAACCTAGGCAATGGAAATAAGTACTTGAGTTCTAGATTAGAAATAGGGGAATAGAATACCACCTCATGGACAGCTATCTAAGAATGATACTTATTGCACTATCGAATGCATTTAAGAGAATCCCACATGTCATGTGCTACACACATTTGTTGACATGGATAGAAACAAGAAATCCATGTTGAAAAGAATTTCATTTTTTGAATTTGCAGATGGAGCATGTCTGCTACAGGAGCACGCTGGTCAACATATTGGGCAAACAAAATGCATCTCCGGTTTGTAAGATACGCACGTCCACACTCTTGGACACACATATCTATGATTTAGACACGTGCCTTTTATTTGGACATTTTTTTTACTTAATTTTATTATTAAAAGTTACAAATTAAATTTTACATATAAATACATATAGATATGTTGTATGTATTCCTGACTTCTCTTGCTATAGATAGGCGAATTAGAACTCCCAATTCGAGTCAGACACAGATACTTGTATTTGTGTCCTTATAACATAGAATTTTCGGGCTTTCACGAAGCAAGGATGATTAGGTGGAGAGATAAGCTTAATGTGAGAAAGCAAGCATAGGGTGCTCCGAAGTAGTGAGAGGAAGGAGACATATGAATCCTTGGAGGAGGATGGGAATGAATGCAAGTGAAAAGCAGTTTCAAGCACTCTAGTTCTACTTTCCAATTTTTTACTTGGCGAAAAAGAAGAAGGAAGTTTATAATGCATTCATTATGTTTCTTTCGAAATTCCATATCCCTGAATCCCCCGCCTCCAAAAGTTCCTCGCCATGTCAATGTTGTGTCCGACACTCGTTACAATATCTGGGTAACACAGCTTTTAAGGTATGGTGTCCACATGGAGGGTTGGTGAGGATAATGATGGCCTCTGAGGGTTGGTACTGCTAGCCATTGATTGGGAATTACACCACCTGGAAGATCACCAAGTTGGCACAGAGGGCTATATGCGGGTTGAAAGCGAGCTTTACCCTTTCATAAGGTTCAAGTGGGGAATGAAGCCCATACTAGTTTTTGCCACAGGATTTGGTGCGGAGATGCGCACCAGCCAATAGATTCCCCGCATGGCTAGCTCACAAGGGAACCTAAAGCTGCGGCAAAGGACTGTTTTCAGAAGATTGGAGGCACTTTATTTCTGGAATCCTCTTTCCAGGAGAGACCTAAAGGACAACAATATCAAGGATTTCCTGGCACTTCTGACTGCTTTCGAGGAGATCTATGATCTAACCGTGGTTGAAGGTACATAGATTCGGACCTTGGAGAGTCGGGGACCATTCTTGGCAAGATCGTCTATAAGGGTCTCAGAGGATGCTATATAGCCTTGGGCCCTTTTTAGGTTGGTATCTGGCACTCTGGCCCCACAGGGTAATTCAATTTAGATGGCTTGTGATTCTTGTTGTGAACAACCACCAGAGAAGAGGCACGGTTCTGTCAAATGTGTTTAATGTGCTCTAGTGAAGCAAAATCCGTTGATCAATTTCCTGAAACGCCTCAAGTGCAGTGTGTGGGATATTTTCATCTCCTTTGATTTTCATGGGTTACACTACATCAGTTGTTAGCCTCCCAATAGGATGTGTCCTTGGTGAATTCCTTCGAGGGATGCATACTATGGGGGATATACATTTTGAGATGCTGTGGCACAGTTGGAATGAACAAAATAGATGTACACACTAGGGAATGAGGATCCCAAGACAGTTCTTGTGGAGAGAATCTGCAATAAAGCCTCTTGAGCTGTCGGACAAAGAATTCAGAGATAACACTGTACTGACCTTCTCAGGGAGGAAAAGATGGTTACTTCATCCAATTGTTTTTAAAACGGATCAGTGGGGTAGATGGCACACACACCTATCTTGATCAAGATTGGCTGGATCAGCTTTCCAACAAAATAAAAGAAAATGAACAAACAACAAAATTATTATACATAGCATATAATATGTAAAGCATTACAAATAAATTCAAAAGTTCAATTGATTAGGGGTGTGGTTTGTATAAGGCTTAGGCCCTAAACAAACAAAGTAAGGCGCACCTTCAAATAGTGTCAAAAGATGTTTCAGACTTTCAGTACTTGAAATCTTTGTCATGGCCTGAAAATTTATTTTCATATCTAACTATAACATTTACAGCTTCAAAAATAGTGTAAATTGGGCATATCTATGAATACTTGAAAATCTTGAAAATTAACAGTCTAGATAATACATTACAAGATGCACTATTTCCAAGACTTGAAATTCATTTTTTCTCGTGTCCATACATCTTGAGGTCAAGATGATCAATTTGCGGATTTTTTGGCATCGAAACAACCTCTTCTAGTCAATTTTTTAGGTGCACCTTAATTTGATTGTTTAGGGCCTCACCCTTATATAAACCATTTCCATTGATTAGACCTATCGGTTAACTAAAAGGTCGGAGGTACGAATCCTCCCTTCTCCCTATACTTTTAAGGTTTTAAAAAAGATTAAAAACTATATAAGTATATTATACATACTATATCAAAGGGTGCACTTGGGGGGGCTTCGACCCTCTGACCTTACCCACAAGATCGGAACGTTATAGCCAAAATAACATTTGAGTTATGTGACTTGAGAATATATTAATATGTTATATATTATTGAATTGCCAAATTCAGCCCAAGAACCGGCACATTCTTGGACTATTCCTGATCCTAATCGGCGATTTTTTTAATCACCGATATGTTAGGCCAAAGCCAAATCCTCTATGGCCAATGGCACACTCTAGATTGATGAAGCTTAACTTTAATGGGTTTTCGCATCACGGCCGGGGGCTTGTGGGTATTAGAGGTGGCCTTAGAGAAGAAGGTGAATTACATCAATGTTCTACTCAGGTTTACTAACCATTTATAATTCTCCTATACACAAGCCAAGTCCCTCCTCGGGCCTAGAGCTATGTATTGATAGAGGAGATGAGCATATTATAGGGGAGAGGGACTTCCTCAACATCATTAGGTGGGCGGGCAAGGACTCTTCATCCCATTGAGACAAGGAAAATTTTTGATATTTTCTTTCTAGATGCAATTCTTTATGTTATATCTATTTGGAAGTTAATGTACATGTGTATGCATCAGATAATACTGAAGTACTTTGAATGTTATTCTTCTAGTTAAAGACCAGGCACACTTCTAGATGCTACCTTGTCATCCCAGTGATGACTGGCTTGATGAAGCTTAGTTTTAACGAGTGTTCACATGGCAAACCAAGGTCTATGAGTATTGGGGGTTTCCTTAGGAAGAAGAGAAAAGACCTCCATATGGTCTTCATTGATCCTGAGAAGCATATGACAGAGTACCAAGAGAGTTAATTTGGCGGGTGTTGGAGAAAAGGAGCCACTAGATGATTGTATTGACATAGTGAGAAGGAGCACTAACTAATGTGACACCAAGTAATGGAGAGACAAGTGAATTTTTAGTGACAGTAGGTCTACATAAGTGATTAGCGTTGAGCCCATACCTTTTTACTTTGGTAATGGATGAGTTAACTAGGCATCTATGGGATGAGGTACGGCGGTACATGTTTGCAGAAAACATAGCTTTGATTAATACGACTAGAGACAGTATCAAAAGTTAGAACTTAGAACTTTGGAGAGATGTTCTAGAATCTAAAGGTTTTAAAATAAGCCAGACTAAGACAAAATACATAAAATGCAAGTTTAGTAATAATAGGAGTAGAAACGAAGAATTAGTTAAATATTGATGGCCAAGAACTATCTAAAAGAGGTTATTTTCAGTATCTTGGGTCGATAATCCATGTGAATGGAGAGATTAAGAAAGATTTCGCACATAGCATTAGCTAGGTGGACAAAGTGGAGATATGCATTTGGAGTCTTACATGATTGTCGCACACTGATGAAATTGAAAAGAACACTATAAGGCCAGTCAAGCTTTATGAGATGGAACATTGGGCAGTGAAGAAATAACATATCCATAGAATGAGTGTAGGTGAGATGAGAATGTTGAAATGGATGAGTGGATAGACATGAAAGGCCAAAATTCGAAATAAAGTTACAAGTACCTCCAATAGGAAAGTAGACTTAGGTGGTCTACGCATGTGCAACATCAACATAGAATAGCACTGGTTAGGATGGGTGATTCGGTTTAAGTGGAAGGCTCTAAAAGGGCAAGGGGAAAATCTAAAAGGTTATCGATGGAAGTAATGAGAAGCGATATGGTGACTTATGGTCTGACAAGGGTATGGCCCTGGATAGAGCAGAATGGCGGAATGGAATTCGTGTATCTGACCCCAAATAGTTGGGATAAGGCTCGGATGATGATGATGATTTACTTTTCTAGATGCAATTTTTTCTGTTAAATCTATTTGGTAATTGATGTACATGTGTATGCATCAGGTATTACTGGAGTACGTTGAATATTATTCTTCTAGTTAACAGACCAGGCACACCTCCTAGATGCCACCCTTTCATCCTTGTGATGACTAGCTTGATGAAGCTTAATTTAATGTACATTCGCATGGAAACTTGGGGCTTGAAGGTATTGGGGATGTCCTTAGAGATAAGGTGAATTACATCGATGTCCTATTCAGGTTCGCTAACCATTTACGATTCTTCTATGCAGAAGCCAAGTCCCTACTCAAGCCTGAAGCTATGTGCAGATAGAGGAGATGAGCATATTAGATGCTGCCTCAACATCATTAGATGGGTGGGCAAGGACTCTCCAGCCTTTTTGACACTTTATCAAAAACTTTTTGAGGAAAATTTTTTATATTTTCTTTTCTAGATATAATTCTTTCTGTTATGCCTATGAGAAAGTTAATATACATTTGTATGCATTAGACAATACTGGAGAACAGTGAATATTATTCATCATTTCATCTGGTTACAGACCAGCCACACCTTCTAGAAGCTGCCTTGTCATCCTTATGATGACTAGCCCTAATATGCTGTACACTTTGCAAGTTTTCTAAATAAGAGTTAATTAGTTAATTATCAAAGAGAACATTGGTCATAACATTAACACGCATTAGCACCTAATTAACTAGTTCCTATATGTGCATAAATTCTAGCATTAAATTGCACAGAATCCAAAACTTAAGAGAGACCAGTAACTATAACAAAGGAAAAGAGTAAAGAAACTTCAAGTGGAGATAGCTGCCAGACTACCCCAAAAAAAAATGGCATTATATCTCCAGAGGAAAAGCCAATAACCATGTCAGCTAGAAAGAAGCTATGAAAGAGGAGGGGCACCTTTAATGCAGCACGTTTGAATGGTGTCGCCCGGAGATATGATTTGACTAATTTGTAGATCAATATATCCAATGGGATATGATGCTGTTCATCTCGTAACCATGGGTGAGCTGCATTTTTAAGTAGCCATTCACACATCACATATGATTGTGTCATACATAACATGTGATAACTTTTTTAAAAGGGAGCAGCTTTTAATAATTCAAATCAAGCAGACCACTGCATGAGTAAAATGACTCCCAGAAATGGTTAAAGTAAAAAATCTAGAATGGGTTCTACTTGGACGGAAATTAATTAAAATCTAACAATGAGACATACAACTTACTCAATGCTTGAGCAGCAGTCATTCTCTTACGGTGATCCTTAATCAGAAGCCTTTTAACAAAATCCTTTGCTTCAGGAGAGACTGCAGGCCAAGGAGCATCATCAAAATTTGGGTCAGCTCTTAAAACAGCACGAAATATTCCTGATTCAGTTCGTGCCCAGAATGGCCTGCTTCCACATAATAAGATATAGGTTATGACACCAATACTCCATATGTCAGCTTCCATACTGTATGACCTATGTAGGACTTCAGGTGCTACATAATACGCACTGCCAACGATATCATTCAGTCTATCATCTGCAATAGCCAAGTTACAATAGAACTTTTCGTTTAATGCAAATAATTACCAACAATGGAAAAACTACAGTTTCACGAAGCAGAAACAGATATGCATAGACAATATTGAGCTATTTGTTGTGCCCTAATTAGAAATTGATAGTAGAGTTCAAAACGAATGCAATAAATACCAAAAGCATGCAAATACTCAGTTCGTGTTACAGATCCATCTATTGATAACTATAATTGTTTGGAACTTCACAGTAATTGAGGTAAAAGCCTATCCCTGAAATCAGGAACCCAAAGTTGAGAATACCAAGTTACACATTGTACTTTTCTTCTATTTAATTTTTTTTTTTTATTAAACCAGCCTTCTCATAAGCATATTTAAGTGGTGGAAGATGGTTGTTCATCATTAGAAATCCCATGTATTTTTGCTTTCTTATATAAAAAATTACTAAGATTTCTGATAACTTTCTCAACAAAAAAAAACTAAGATTTCAAATGATCCAGCACAATGTTCAAAAATTCAGCTGCCCAGCCACCTAGGCGGCCAAAAGGAAAAAATGCCTAGGCAGAGCTTAGGCAAGGCATCTAGGCGGCTTGCGTCTAGGCGCCCGCCTAGGCGGACAAGATGCCTCCTAGGCGCTAGAGTCAAGGTGGCCACCTAGGCACCGCCTCAATGATGTTGCCGAAGGCCGAAAAATTCCTCCGGCTAGGGTCAAAATTAGTCATTTTTTGGAGGAAAAGGGTTTTGGGGGGGGTATTCTAAACGTCCAAAACCAAATCCATGCCATCTAGAGAGAGAAAAACTCCATAAAAACCTCGAATTTATGATTTATCGAAAGATCGATAAAGTTTCGATTTTTTTTATTTCTTCCCAAAACAAAGGCAATAGTTCGTGGGTGTTTTTGGAGCTTCTAGTAATCGATTTTGAGGACTTTTAGCAACCCAATCGACGAGGTTTTCGCCGACATCAATTTGATTTTGATATTTTTAAAGCCTTATCAAATTTGTATAAGGGTTTTGATTTGTTTTTGCTATAACGCATTGTGTTTTGAATCATTTGATTTTTCTTGTTTAACTTTTTTTCGTTTGTGGTATATTTACATTTTTGTAGTTGAAAGATTGATTTTTTTGTGATTAATTGATTATTAACTCGTTTGGACGATGAAATTGGTCCTATATCGAATTCTTTTATGAATATTTGGTTCTTATTTTGCACAATGTGTGATGCTTTGATATCCTATTAGTTTTGTTTTATTTTTTTTATATTTTTACATATTTGTAGATGGAACATTTACTGATTTGGACTCATATTTTGTGAATAGTCACAAACTTTGGATGAAATTGATATGTTTTGCGAATATTTGATATCCAAAACCAAATCTTATGGATATTAATTAATAAATAATAATTATACTATAACTTTTATCTTAATTAATAATTCCTACCCATCCTTGCTCCTGGGCCAGCATTAAATTCAGTAAACAATGTTCTTGGCAACCGCCATTTTCCAATGCTAACATAAAAGTACAGGAAGAAAGCGAGAGAGAGAGAGAGAGAGAGAGAGAGAGAGAGAGAGAGAGAGAGAGAGAGAGAGAGAGAGAGAGAGAGAGAGAGAGAGAGAGAGTAGAGAGAGTACGTATAGTAGTAGTAAGTAGTAAGTAAGTAAGTAACTAAGTAACTAATACGTAACGTAACGTAAACGTAAACGTTAAAGTAA